ATCTCTCTCTAGCATCTACATAAATTCTTCTTCCTTTTTATATGGCAGAGCCCCTAATCTCTCACAGAGGTGGAAGAATCTTCTCTCTGAATTGAAGAGGACGAGAAGAGACCACATCACTTCTCTCCACTTTGATGTCGTCAAGCCATGCGTCATATGCAAAATTCTCGTCTCTCCCTGGAGAAGATGTTAAAGAGGAATATTTATGACTTTCTGGAAAAGATTTTTATTTCTGGAGTGGTGGGTGTTTCCGGAACTCGCGATTTCCCTGTCCGAATTTCTGCCACTTTCTTTCGCTTCATTTGAAAGTCCTTCAAGATGCATACGAAAGGCCACGAGTCCAGCAAAAGTAACAGCAAAACTTTTTTTTTCTTTCGCAATTTCATTGGATGTTACTTTTAAATGAATCAGACATGAAAAGTTGAAATAATTACGTTTAACATGGTGAGACTTGGAAGTGGTAAATGTATTTCTGAAAACAGCTACCGCTGGACATATACGGCTATGCTCATAAGATATGGAGATATTCAATGAACGGGGGAAAATCAAAGCTAGTAAATACCAGTCATGAGTCACACCGAAATATTAAAATCATCTTCAAAGAACGCATTCCTCGTTGATAACTAAATTAAATTATACTGTCAGCCACAAGGGATTTTAAAGAATGGCAGACGATGCAACAGCGAGCAATTACTACTATAGAGCTGTTATTTCTATTTATATCGGCACCGCATCGTACTTGCTTTTGGTATTATAATTTTTTGCATTATTTCATGTGATCTAACAGATCCTGAAGCTCAAAAAAGCCTGAAAAGTTTTTCATAAAAATTAAAGAAAGCAGCTTCTTTACTTTATGCCACTTACAAAAGGTTTCGCACATAAAGACGGGAGGGGGGGAGAGGATAAAGCATATACCAAAATCTAGTTAATATTCATATTCAAGTTACAAACAAGAGCGGGCCGCATTTTGCTACAGTCCGCTGAACAGCGAATATATTATCAGAATATTAAGATGATGATAAGGACAACCGCATTCGAATGTTGGCAAACATCAGCGAATGAACCAATCAAATTAATCTAAAATGTATTCCTTCTCATGTAACCCTTATCTATAAAAACAACCACATCAGAATGTTGACAAATATTAGCTAATGAACCCAACAACTTAAATCTAAAAATATATTACTCCTCATGAAACCTTATGTATGAGAACAACCACATCAGAATATGAACAAATATTAGCTAATGAACCCAATAAATTAATCTGAAAATATATTATTCCTCATGTAATCTTACGTAAACACATTATCTGAAATACAACTTCCTGACGAATTTATTAGGATGTAGCCACCACTATAAACCAAAAAAAAAAAAAAAAAAATATTCTTTTTTTAATGGGCCCAACAGGTCAATAAAATTTTAGCTTTCAAAAATTTTGGCTGAAAAGTTTTCCTAAGTTCTTATTATTTATTCTAAAGACGAAAGAACGCGAAGATTCGACTTTTCAAATCTCGGATGGCCCATCTCTAATTTTAAGAGGCATTTTAGGAAACTCTCTGTTGAAAATCGTTTTCATAAAATTCCCTATTTTATTTTCAGAAAAAGCTTTAACTAGAAGTACATGTCTAGGATTAATATAATATGTCAAGAATAGCCAACAGCCACTGTGTAAGCGTTTCCGAGAAGAGCTGGTTGGATTCCATAAGGTTTCTGTGAATTGTGCAATACAAGTATTATGTAAATATAAAAGTGCTTTTATTTAATTCAGTTATTCCAAAAAGAATATGCGTATGTGTTTTGTAACATGCGCAACTGCGTGGTACATGAATATATTCGAGATAAAAAGGATAATTAATATCTCGTGCACCCTGATAAAAAAAAACATGATTTTTCTGGCCTTTTTCTCTTTGTTGAAACTAAGATCAACTTCAGTACGTAGATCCTTCCGTTCCCTCAAATCAAGCAAATGGAAACGGAATACGTCGAGCTACAGATCCTCTTTCAGTACGATGGAGCACCATTCATTCCACTTTGCGGATCATGTGCGAAAGAGTCTGAGACGACAATTTCAAGGCGCGGTGTTTGGCGAAACGAACCTGTCTTAATGCCCGCTGGAAATCCAGATTTCATCCCACTAGATTTCTTCCTCAGGGATTTTGTAAAAAGTGAGGTTTTTCTAGACAATGAACTGATAATCTTACTCACTGCTGAGTCAGAATTATATAATTAATTGCAAGCGTTATGCCAAAGTATGGATTGAGACCAAAGTATGGACAAAGTATCGCCACGACTGACGTCATAGCGGACTGTACATCGCTATGACGTCAGTCGTGTTGCTAATGGCGCACATACAGTAGCCTATCTTTCTAAGTGGGTGAATTAAAAAATTAAAAAGTACTATAATCTACGTTACATAACGTATACTTCAATTCATTTCAAATAAAATACACTTCATGAAATCCCACCATTCATTCACGGAGATTCTATATATATGCGTAAATCTCTGGGGACAAGATATACATGTCTTGCACTAAATACATTAAGGGGGCTCATTCACTTTAAACCCCTTATGATCTTTGACTATGTGACTGTTGGAAGAGTTGGGATATTTTATTTAATTTAAAAGCAATTACTTCCAACGTTTTACAGCTGACTACATAACATAGCTGCTTTGGGAACTAGTAACTAGAAAGTTTGTTTTGCCACAAACATTTTTGTAATTTAATCCGCTTTGTGACAAAATTTTTCGTCATGTTTCCACTTTGCGCGCACGATATTTTAAAAATGGCTAATGGTACATACTTGAAATTGTATGGAATTCTTTATATGGGCACTATTTTCTAACTAAAAAAAATTTGATTAATATTTTAATATTAAAAAATTTTTATGCACGATAACATTACAGATTTTTTTAATAAAAACATTTTAAAACTCAATTAAAATAAAATAAAAATTTTAACATGAAAATTCCTTAGAATTTTCGTTCACGGTAGTTTCCAAATGTTATAAAAGCGATATATTAAATATGGAAATAAATTATGCAAAAGAATGTTTTAAACTGTGCGCGTAAGGTGGAAATATGACGAAACATTTTGTCACAAAGCGGATTAAATTATAAAAATATTTGTGGCAACACAAACTTTCTGATTACTATTTCAGAAAGCAGCTATATTATGTAGTCAGCTGCAAAACGTTGGAAATAATTGCTTTGAAAATAAGTAAGTTATCCCAATTCTTGCAACAGCCACATATTCGAAGATCTTATGGGTTTTAAAGTGTATGAGTCCCGTTTAAAAAAAATGGCGGATGACAAATAACTGATAGCTGCTTTGTAATTAATGTCTAATATCTAAATTGTCATGTTTCCTGAAGCTAACCATTTCTGAAAATGAGGTAAGTTACGAATTTGCATTTCTCTGCTAACTGCTCTGTCAGGTGCAGTGCAAGATTTACGTATAAGGTATACAAGCTATAGCTTCTGGCCCCCGCTTTCTTGGGAGCCCCCCAAAACACCTCTAGATATTCGAAAATTATATCTGGCACTGACATATATTATCGAGACTTATAAAGTGCTCCATATCTCAGATAGTTTAGGGCAGGGGCTCTCAACCGGTGGTATGCAAGAGGAAAGTGTGGTACGCGAAGAAGCAAAGTATTTTTAACTATTCAATTCAAAAATTAAAACCCCAACATCCTGATTGAGTTTTTTTCTCTAACATTCGTAAATTTATGCGATCTGAAAGCTTTGTTCAAAAGTGCTGGTGTAACAGCTTTAAATAGTATTAAAATTTTGTAGTTTAAATAATTTAAATAGATGAACATTAAGGTATTTGTGAATGGCAATATTTGAAAACAGACTCGAGTGCCACGTATGACTCTCGCACGAAGAATGTAATTTATTTTTAAGTGTTAGAATTGTTTCTCTTCTGGTTTGTATGTCGCCATTTTTTTAGTGTTAAATAAAAGTTATTGCTGTGTTCCATCATTGGAGTTGCTTCATTTCGCCAAAGAAGTATTACACTGGTGATAGTAGTATTTAAAAAATAAATAACCAAATGAAACCAAAGAAATCGCGCAAACTCCAAAAGAAAATGGCGGCGACGGATTACAAATTTTCACAAATAACGAATGAAGAATTGGATGATCTTATTACACCATCCGACAGTGAAAGCAGTCATAATGAAGAAGTTACAGCCCCTTTTCCTTTGAAGAAGTTAAAAAAGCCACATGAACTGTCCGATTTCGCAATGGACATTGAACCAAAGGAAGAAAGAAGAGAACTTTTACGAAAGAAAATTGAAAAACTCTGCGATTCTTATCGCCAAACTTTTACGGAGTTACCTTATATGTATGTATGTCCTCAGCAAAATTCACCGGATTAAAAAAAATGCATCACGTATTTATTGAACAGTAATAAAAATCCTTTCAGTTCACGTTTTCTTCCTTTTGATTACGAGTCAAAAAAATATTGCTTCAAGAGGAATTTGTTAATGATTTTTAAAACTACACAGGCTATCGCTAAATCGCAGCAAAGGAAACAAAGCCTTCGATAAGAATGTTTTCCACGCAGCATTTTCCAAAAGAAATCGGCTCGCATAATAGAAATAGCTGGATCAGTTTAACTATACACAGCAATTTCTTACCAGATCTACCACTGAAAAAAAGCACCAAGATCGTTTTTCCTCCCTTTTCATGCGCTTGTCTCTTACTCAAAAAAAGATGCAGGTTGCTCATAATTCAACCAATCTGAGATCAATATCAACCATTTTCACCATCATTAACATTCACAAGCTGGTATTCCTATATCTACTGGTAAAATCAGTTGTTCTGCACACACTAAACTTGTAGAAGCTAACCTCGCCAAAAAAATTGATTGTTTGGCATCACTTTTGCCTTTATATAAATACAGGAAATGTATGCAGCTCAGTCCGAATCACTGAAAATTTAACTTACTGAATAGTCAATATTTTAGGACTTTTACACTTCAACTACAAGTAATACTACATTTGGGTATCAAGTACCCAAATGTAGTACCTCAGACTTGTTAAACATAAGATAAAAACAGCACTGTAATAATATTTAAATAGTGACTTACCTGTTGTGAAGAGGACTATCGCTTTGAGGCAACTGTACTCTGCCGCATCTACATGCAGCGCTTTCAACTTTTCCACTTGTTCTTGGAAGATTCGTATATGGTCCATGAAGGCCACCACTCTGTCCGCAGCCATAGGGGACGCATGTAGTCCCGCAGCCGCTAGAAGGGGCGCCACATGCAGGGGCATGGAGCACTGAGAAGCGTTCAGTACGAAAAGTTCGCTCCAAACCAACCTCAAGAGCGCCACCTGGTCGGTCACTTGAAGGTCAGGGAAGAAAGGAATGTTCCTGGCCCACTCGACTGCGCTGAACAGCAGTCTCGCAGCAAGTTCGCAGATATTGTCGATACCCATAATGTTGTTGGGTTGCATACACTGGGCGTACCGCGACGGCGGGTAAGGCTCGGCCCGCAACAGCAAGGAGATAAAGCTGGACAGGTAGGAATGAGAGCCATTGAGAGCGTCGCCGTTGGTCAGTGTCATCTGGCCTGGGAGAGCATGTTGGCTTGGGGGGACCCGCCCCCTCTGTACCGCTGCGGGGGGACACAAGAGACAACATGTAGAGCCAAATTTGCGACACACTTCACATGTTACAAATTGCATTTTTTAAATCAGTTACTCTGAACGCATTCAGATTACACACATATAAGTAACAGTTCCATAACACTTCTTAAATACACAAAAGAAAATTCGCAAAACATTTTTCTTAAATCTCTATGTCACATACAGGAAATGAGTGTTAGAAAGACATCGTTATTAAGGAATAAATCAAAAGAGTGCAATGCTATATTATTTATCCAACAATATCAGTTGCAGGATCTAAGCTCCAACAGTTCTGAAGAAATCTTCTAAATCCGCACTGCATATTAATTGTGTTTTAGGAGAGAATATATTTGTTAAGTTCGTTTATAAGTAGCTTTTCAAAACATTTATAGGTATTTTATGAATTACATATGCCAGAAATTCACATTGTGCCTCGTATGGATCTTAAAAAGCAGAGTAACTCAAAAATGTTTATAAATCTTACTATGCACTTGTTCTAATACCTAAAGTACTTTGAGAGTAAAGAGAGCCAAAGTTACAAAAAAAGTTGCTTTCTTTTGCAGCCACTTTTCTATAACAATCTTAAAAATACGTAATATTTCCGAGTAAAATATTAGCAATTATAATACAACACCGTCACAGTACTACAGCTGTTACACGGATACAGAACAGAATTCTTTTGAAAGCCGCAACCTTATATTTGTTACATGTAATACAAAGCATCAGATTTAGTAACTGTTTTTTCATACATCATTAAGACAACATGGGGAATTTGAGGTAATTTTCATTATTTTTAGTACAGTTTCTAGCACTGAAAGAAACAGAAGGTTCCCTCTCTAATCTCAACAATGAAGGAATCCATGAAACTGAGAGAAACACAAGAATTAAACTTCTTTAAAGGAAAACTATAACATCGTTTTCTAGCATAATTTCTTCAAGAGAAAGCTTCTATTTGTTTTACAGCTTTGGTTGTGAAAGAAACATGGGGAAAAAAGCAACAGTTTTCGCAGGAGCTAATATTATCAGTCAATGTAGAGGTACTAATCACCGATTAAAGTAGTCTAAGCTCCAGTTCATGTCGGTGCGGTTGCTTTATCGCGAAGTCAAAGTGCAGACTGTCTATATAAACATGATGCCATTTCAACGGACAGCTGACTCATATTTTTCCTTCTTGATTTTTTTCACTTTTCTTGAGCATTTCCAGATTCTTACAGGAGAATATCATTCGCGATAACGTTTTTGCCTTTTGAGTTCATTGGTCAATTCCCTCAGCCGTCAAGTTTCATATCAAAAACTCATTTCAGAAGTCTTAAATAATGGATAATTCAGATACAGGAAAGTTATGCATCACAACTTCGCTTTGACCGTATGAATGACGATGAAGTAAAAACATGCAAAGAAGATATTAGACAGGAAAGGTTTTCAAACAAGTCAATACTACAAGTGCAAATTACTAGATAGAGAATATTAGTTCTAAAGAACAGAATTTTAAATTTCTTGGGTATGTTACTTTGAGAACGTCCCTGAAAGAATGTAGAATGCCATTTGGTAGTTACAACGTAAAATAACTTCTAATATTTTATCATAAAATTGTTCTTTGTTATTTCATTTATACAGTTCTCTTTGGTATTACTATTATCAATGGGGTATCAGTACACAGACAGTTTAAGATCACACTTCTAAGTCCTTTTTTATACAGAAAAACTATACAGGAAATTGAGGCTGCACATGAAAACTCATTTAGTAAACAGTTTCATTTGAACTGTGATTTTGTTAACTTTTCCGAATTGCGTTGTTTTTTAATTTGTTAACACCCAAATTAAAAAAATATTTTATTAATTTCACTGAAAATTTCTTGACTAAATAATATTAACAATAAATGTTTACAAACACACATTTGCAAATTTTCTCATTTTGCATCAAAAATTGACAAATAAAATTACTTGTTAGATAAGATCTACCACAGCTCAAAAGTTGCTAAACTATTTTTATAATCCAGTCTAAAAACGTTCAGAGAGTTTAAAAGAGAGTTGAGAGAGTTTAAATGTATTTATCACTAATTTAGTTTAATAACCACTGCAAACATTTTTCAATTATTATTTTCGAATATTATTTACATCACTATATAACTGGCGTAAAATTCCAAGTATACGTTAATTACTGACTTCTTAAACTGATTGATTTACTACTATCAAAGCTGTCATAACTACGTAAAGAAAGAGTAATAAAAATTCATATTGATAGTTTGTCACGATAGTTATAGCAAAATGGCATTAAATCACTCTCAAATTTGCAATCATTTAACAGGAAAAGATGGCTTCATGAAATTCGTAAGAACAGCATTTTTGTCCTCAGCAATTGAACAATATTTAGTCTTCAGGCAGCTGAGAAGCAGAAAAAGCTTTCTGATTTAATAATTTGTAAACAGCTGAATAAAATATTTCAGAAATATTTTCAGAATTGCTACAGAACCTTAAAAAAAAGTGACCTGCAATTTCACTGATAAAACTCTACAGCAAAAAGGAAATTTCAGTTTCCCAAATACGCCTTTTGAAAGTGAAGATACAGAATTGAAACAACTTTCTCAAATTGTTGCATAAAGAGAATACAATATAAATTTGTTAAAAATGTCTACTGGAATTCCTATGAGCATCAAAACAAATTAAGTAAATCTTCTTCAATATCGTTTCGAAACTCTTAACAGCTTTATATTTTCTGATTGAGAATGAGGTTTCTGCTAAATGCACGTCTACACTACTTCAGGAGACTAATAAAAAAAAATATAGTTTTTTACGTCTCATATGGCCTTTTGAAGTAATAGTTCAATAGCATAAAAGAATATTTTACTAACAGAACATTAATTAAAAACAGTGTCTCAAATAACAAGCAGACGGTTTGTTTGAAACTATATTGCTCTTCGAATGCTTAAATCAAATACCATAATCTTGAATTCTTAAAAAGCAATGTATCTTCAAATAAAAATGGTATTTCGTTGGTTGGCTGCAAATAATTTCATAGAATTCAGACGATTCCTATAGAAGTACAAGCAGATTTTAAGTTCCATAGCATAGTTACAACTAAAATTCCTTTTTTATATGACAGCGCCCGGAATTCTTAACTTTAATAACATGATAAAAACCTTCACCGTTGAAAGCAAATTGCTGTCATATGTAATAAACTTGTATCGATCAAATTGCCTATTGGACAAAAAAAAAAAAAAAAATAAAATAAAATAAAAAAATAAAAAAGGACAAATCAACAAGCAGGTCTCTTTCTTTACAAGCTGGCTAATATGCAAAATGTGCCGCTGTAATTAAAAGACCGGTCGCTGACAGAATCTTCAAATGGATCCAACCGCTTTACTCAGGCGCTGTCCTGAGGCTCCCTGAAAAACAGCGGTGGCGGAAGAAAATAGTCCGAGGATTCTGCGCGCGGTTATCCTCTTCTCCACCCTCCAGCAGACGGTCGTCTGCGGGGTTGGTCGACAGGAGGTTCTTTTTCACTTTGCTGGCGCGGCGACAGCGCGAACGCCCTCCTCCCCCCTCGTCTCTTTTTACTTTTTTTCGTTGAGATATAGAAGGGGCAAGCGCGTTGTATTTTTAAAAAGTTTCTTTTCAGAAGGCATTCTATGTCTTCCGTAACACAGATTGTTGCCCCCTAATGTAATTGTTCTTTCTATTGAATTTGTTCACTTTGTTATTGTAGTGCGACGTGGGATGAATCTGCTGTTTATTTTATTTTTTTTTTATTTAAAATTAAATTTATTTTAAATTTAAGTTAAACTTAATGTCATTTTAAATTTTATTTTTTTTTCCTAATTTAAAAAATATTATTCTAGAATTCAATGTTTTGTTTACCGTAAAATTTCAAAATAACATTCAGAAACTTTGCAATGACAATTCAGAAGAATGTGACTTCGATTTTATTATCGTTATTGTTGCATTCTGCTTATGGGGGGGGGAGAACTATCAACCTAATGAAACGCTAATAATGTGTTACATGCTCACTTTCTGTTTTACACTTACACGCTATATGCGTGTAACAAGTGCCAAGAGAATTTAAAATGAATAAAATTATTAATAAGAATTCCTGAATTACGTTTTAATACGTACTCTTAGTTAGTTCATATTAGTGATTAAATGCAGCAAAAATAACTGTTAGTTCAAGTTGTACTTTGATTAATATTTGTTATAACTAATTGAATATTTTGGTCTGCTTTTTTCCCTCCTATCTGAAAGGCATTGCAAGTCTACAGCTAAAATATCTATGTTCTAGGCCAAAGAAATGTTCATACCATACAAAATTATGCAGAATTAAGATTTGAATTATCTCTATTATACTTGACGTCACAACAGATGCGACACCCCGGCAATGGTGCTTTCTCTCTCCCCCCTTTCTTCTTTTATATTTTTCCTGTTTTTATTCACGACATATTTAATTTTAAATTCTGAATAATTCAGAATAATAATATTTTAAACAAATAACTGGGAATGTATTAATGAATTAAATTTTCACTTATGACATCGATTCCGGATAATATGCAAGTTTCAACATAAAACAGAACCACATTTCTTGTTCCGAAACATTAACATGAACTACCATGGAATTCTCTTGAATGACGGTGAACATTTATTTTACATGCGAAGAAGATGAGGCACTAAAATATAAAATGCTAATAAACACAGCTAAAATGACAGTGGGATAAATGAATAAGGCTTTTAATTTCAGAAATATAAGAAGAAGGTAGATTAAAATAATAAAATTAATTAATTTCAATGTGTTAAAAAAGTATTTAGAGTGCGCAGTTTTGATTTAATGTGATTTCGATGTTAAAATCAATCAGCACGACTTTATTACAGAACAGAGTCATAGCTAGTGTTTTCAGCGCCCGGGGAAATTTAAGATTCCGCGCCCCTTTCTGTTTGCCAAGAAAGACTGGAAAATGATCGTAAAAAACTTTTAAAATTCGTTTTAAACAATTCAAAAATTGTTTAGAAACGAAAACAAAATTCTAAACTAAACAAAATTCTAAGATTCTGAATAAAACAATATTCATTCTACTGAAAAACAATTCATTCTAAAATTTTTTAACATCACTTTGGCGTCTCCTGAATGCTACGCTACGGATGTCTCCCTTGCCCCCCCCCCAGCTAAAAACTGTAACTGTAAAGGAATACCGATTCCCCATTACATAGATATTGCAATTCTGTGTGATTTGTATGATTTGTTTTAATTAATGCGTTAATTTTATGCTGAATCTTTCCTGAAATTCTACTATTTTGAACTACTACTATCCCCACCAGAAAATGCAAATGCGTTTAAATAATAAGATAGAATCTGAATTTAGTGACAAAGATCTCGTTACTTAGATCCTAAGTACAGTAAGTTTGGATCCTAATGGAATGTTGATTGTTAATGAATTAAATTTTCATTTGCAGATAAAGGAGAAGGTGGGTAGTACAGCGCACAGCATCTAATTTTTAATATTTGTGCTGAAATTAATTGGAATTACTGTTGATTATCAAGTCTCAAGCAGCAGAGGTTCAGTTTCGTTAGTCTTATGAACTGTAACTTTAAGATGAAGTACCATTAAGTATTTTAGTTGTTTTATGCGTTTGTTGTTACCAGTTTTGTGCTGTCGTGCTGAAGTTATGTTGGGATAAAAAGACGTCCATCAGTCTAGTAAAATTATTGAATGGTTTTTTGTAAGTAAAATTAAAGGGTAACCTTGCAAGGTTAGGTTAGATTTTGCGGCAAAGCACTCCTGAATAATATATCTTACAAGGTGGTGGTGGTGGTGTATTTAATTATGGCAAAGCACACTAGGGCTATCTGCCTAAGGAGAGGGATGCCTTCGTGGAGGACTTTCTAAGGGAAACTGGCTCGTATACACGTTACACATGGGGAAAACCACGAAAACGCCCATGCAGCCGGCCCGTTCGCGAGATTCGAATCTCGGACTGAACTCCCAGTGTTCAGCGACTTTACCGCTCGGCCGCTGGTGGGCCTATCTTACAAGGAGTGTCTTCAAACTGGCCCTTATTTATAAGAAAAAGCTACGAAAACTTTATGCCACCGTTTCGTACAAACGCGGAAAATAGAAGCCGAAAAAGTGCTGCTACTTATTTGCTTTGGTGACTTTTAAGCTATAATAAAATGGAATTTTTCCAAACTTATGCTACAGTTTCCCATTATTTGAATTTTGTGCAATGATAAATAAGTGTTGCTAAAGTAGTACTTATCAAAGGTCATCGGAGACATGCCAGTGTCAATAAACCATCAATAAAGGAAGCTTCAGTTCGAAACAAATCAAATTAACACACCGTATGCGGAGTCATATTACAATATTATACGGTATTTAATAAATAAGGAAAACAAACACCGCAAATTGATAAGCACAATCACTCCTTATGCAAAATGCATAACTATTTGAATTCCCTAATACCACTTATTAATTCAACTATATCGTAAATGCTATTTCTAAACATAGATATAGAATATACCGCGTAAAGAAAACGATCGCTATAATCTCATTACGCTAACTTAATGGCAACCGCTCCAAATTGGAATGATCTACCGACCTTTCGAATGAAACTACCATTTGCAATCGAGAGGTTAAACCCATGGGTCATCTCGTGATTACTGGTTTAGAATGGAGACGTGAACGGGAATATCATGGCCAGGCCGAGGGTCAAACCATTTCGAATTTGTCTCACAGTTTACCTGCTGTAAATTTAGAGGTGAATGGAAGGCGTGCAAAATGCACCTGTGTCTATATATATTCGTGTCAGATACGAAACGAATTCATTTAACACATCTGGAACTAATTTTATTTATACCATTCCTACAGACAATTTTTAGTTTTGGTTCGAAAACGTTCAAAACGTGACAGGCTTTGAATTTTATAAATTGAATTTATAACAAATTTAATTGAACAGATGTGTAACTAATGACAAAGATTTTAAAAAGGCGGAATTTTTTAAGATAGTTAACAACCTGAGGATAATATTCCTGTTTTGTATAAATCAAATATGACGTGAAATTATTTTTGCTACACTGTCTAATTTTGAATATCTATTTAAGATCAACAGAGCGGTTTACACCAGAACTTTTCATGCAGAAATGATTAACGTTTGCAGCTTTATCAAATTCTACATTAATTAAAGAACCTGTTCTAATCTAACAACAATACTTACGTTGCAGTCTCGATATCGTTCTATCCGCAAAACTTTTTTGTAAAGATAATTTGAATAATTACTTTTTTGAAATACGTCATATTTATATCCTAGACGTATTATTAAATACTGGGAATTGTACTATTGGTAGTTATGATTGTACAGTCTAGATAAACACGTGAGACATTAATAATGGCAGATAGTTTTGATTCATCGTTTAAGTTTCAAGTGAACAACTTTGTTTTAATATTACATCACTGTGATCTTTGCTCCTTTACTGCGACAACAGTTGGGGTTTATCTCTGTAAGTTTTTTGTTGTATTATTACATGCTAGAAAACGAAAGCAGTTTGCGAAATAATCTAATCCTTCAAAGAAAAGGAGACTATGACTGCAAAAAGATTTTTAAAATACCAAAATATTTAAATGGTAAACCAAAAATATTATGACCAATTAAACAACAACATAAAATTAAATTTAGATACGAACTGCTGACGTCCTATCAACATAATTAGCTAATTAACAATCTGCGAGAAAGATTAACAACATTCATCTACGTTATTGTTATGATTACTGATCACGGCCTTTCTGATGTGTAGTCGGAGATTTTATTCTATTCTTCTGATCGAATATTTTCACGCTTTGTTTCTGATGATATATGATATATATATATAGTGTAAATCTTACATATTTAGTGTAAATCTTACATATTTAGTTACATATTTAGTGATATATATATAGTGTAAATCTACTCTTAAATATAGATATTTAAGAGACGAGCAATTATTTCTTTCACTGATGAATCCTAGAAAATACCTTAAACGATTTTAGGATAAGAATTGCATCTATTTTAAGAAGCAAATACACATCTGAATGCTCTTCTTCCGTTACGACTGACTAATGGCCATCTTCAGAACTTGTTCGAAATCGTCATCATTGTTAAAAATTGACTGTGTAATCATTGTGATCAAACACCGTCACCGATCTCATAAATGGCCCACCAGTGGGCCGAGTGAACCATTAGTATTTCAACTGGGTTCGAATCCTGGCAAATGGAGTGGCTGCCGGTGTTTCCTCCATGTTTTATGAGCCAATCCACCATAAAAATCCTCCTCCAAAGTAACCATTCCTTTATGCAGGAAGCGTAAACGTGTTTTTCCATAATCATAAAAACAAATCCAATCCAGCGTTCTTATTAGTTTGTATGATATTTTAAAGTTAAGATTTAAAATATGAAATATATAAGTACTTAAAACAACATTCTGAATTAAGACACAAAACATAAACAGAACTTGAAAATTGTCATGTTCAAAAACTTGAAAATATCATGCAGTTCTTGGATCAAGGAATTCTAGCGCATGATCTGACGTTTGGTCTCAGTTCCACTCTACTCGCAAAACAGTTTACAAGGATAATTTGAAACAAGCGCAATTTCTGGCTTAAAAACAACCCATGTTTACTATTTCATGAGTTGTTCCTAGAATACTGGCTCAACAGAACATGCTACGTCGCCCGTGGCGACAATGTTCATCTTAAACTAGCCGTTGTTTTCACAGAAGTTGGCCATCTCAAACATAAAGTCTGCCGAATAAAAATGCCAGTCCGAATAATTCAAAATGGGGTTGGCACATTTCAGTTCTACTCAACTCTACTCGAGTCCTCTAGAAATAAACATACCGAGGGGTGAGGCAACACGAGGGCCCATTCGTGACCTACATCCCTTCCCCGCCAGTTAAATAAACAAACACTCACAGAACGCTCTCTTCAGGGACAACTTAGATCCCATGTGATGCAGTACTCAAAACTGCTTCTGCATGAAATTCAACCAAAAGTTCAACGTTTCCAAATATTTCTGTCTGTATAATGAATTCGGTTTATATGATCTTAATGCCTCATTTTCAGATAAAATTAAGCAAATATGCTTGCATTTAACCCAGAAGTCGAGAGAGCTATCGAAGATAACAATATAAATTTTTCTTAATATACGTTTTTGTAAATGTTATGTTGTGATGTAAAGCTGGTTCGATACCAGAACCGTATTCGGGAATTTAAAATTAACACATCATTACGTATTTTTATACATAACCATAACATAATGCGTTTCGGCAGAATTTCAGAAAATGTATTTTCATTTCATCTATTAAAGAATTGATTTGACAGTCTCTACAAGCGTGAAAATAAATTGTATTTCATGGTTTAATAAGCTTTGATACACTTAAAATGATAGCCGAAATGTTGAATTTCAGTGCAGGTTTTTAAAGGAAATTTTTGGAATTTATAATAAACATATTTTGCTTTTTTTCGTGATTTTTTTTTTTTTCTATGAACGCTCACGAAATGCTCCGGAATCTGTTCTATTAACACAAATTTTTAAGCATTTAATTAAATTTGAAGTTAATACAAAACGAACCCAATTATAAATTTATTTTCACTTATTCATTTTGTCTAATGAGATTTGGCAATTATTATGACGTCAAATTTTCCCAGCATTCATTTATAGATGTGAATAAGCTCTACAACAGGGAAATTTATTATATTTTCTAGACAGCAAAATATACTATGTAACTGTTTCTAAAACACTTTTGAACTACTATTAAAAATAAAATGATTACTAGTTCTATCTGAATAGTTAAGATAAAAATAAAAGCATAACATACTTTATATTTTTCAGCATAAAATATCTCTTGCGATTAAGTATCTAAAATATCGCTTCGTTTATTCGAATTTAATTCAAAATAAGTTTACCTACAGAAAATCATAAATAATTTAAAAACAAACTCTTATCTTACTAATTTTCTTACTATTCAAACTATTACGTCAAAATGATGTTAATAGTGATATTACGTTACATAACTGGCATACATACAGACAAAATAGTTATTATAATAATAGCATTATAAAATAGATATAGCTGTACATACATAGCATAGCTGTACATAATAGCATTATAAAATAGATATAGCTGTTCATACAGAAAAGTTAAACATGGCTGACTTTATTACTTTATCTTTTTACTTATTTATTTATCTTTTGGTTACTTTTTCTAAAGGGGCGGATATTTTTTTGACACTGGCATGTTATTCATCCAAGTACCTACTTCCCCTGTAACCTTGTTATTTTAATTCAAAAAACGTAGCGTAACCTAATATAATACAAAAGGTCATTTCATTTACACGAAATTAAGCATACGTTAGAATTGTATATTACTTATAGAACCGTATATTACACTAAGTCAAGTTTTAGCCAAACCTGGAAAGGAGTTCAACAACATTTTTTAATGTGTATCAGCGCTACATCACCAGCCACGTATGTATTTATGTAAATGCGCTGTTCGGTGCATGGGTGGGAAAACAAAACTGTTACTAAAAGCGGAAAAAAGGAAATTTAATGCACTAATATCTTCTGCATCACTATACTATATTTCTGAAGACGGGATCTTGATATTATATTTTCAATTTCCGTTAATTGCTGCATTTCACAACAAGCTCCCAGCGACAGATTTACTAGCTTTCAAGAGGTACCTAGTAAAAAACCAACGATGAAGGGATAAAACAACTCTTCTCCAGTCATACGGTACTGATCTGAGTCACCCATACACATTATCCAATCAGCTCTTTCGTCTTCAAAATTTTGTCTCATTCCTTAGAACTTAAGAGTATTGATCTTCGAACTTAAGAGTAGTAATCCTTAGAGATTAGTATCATAATAGTTACTATGTAAAATTAACAATTAGTGAGATAATAAAAAACGTTGCTGTGAAGAGGAGATAATGCATATGATAAAAAGGCACATGAAACGAAGAACACTCGCCACTCATTATCAAAATCCAAACTCATTATCAAAATGCAAAGTGCAACATCCAAATTTAGATTCGAAAAAAATATAATTAACAGTATAAATGCTATTTTAAGTACCACATTAGAAATGTAACCATCAACTAGTCTTTTGGCTCGAAGAAATAGTATGAAGAGATGATAGAGAGATGAATAGTATTTGTGCAAATTAGGAAATTTGGAATGTTTAGTACTTGTGCAAATTAAGTGTCCTCCACACTTCTACCTAATAATTTATCTATATTTTGGATGAAATTTGTATTATTAAAGCTCTTTTATTATTTTTTAATGGTATCACGTACACAACAGGTTTTTCTAATATTTCACGTCGACTGACAAAATAAGATAGCATGATTGATTTTTAAGCTTGCTGACAAGTAAACAAAAACAGATTCTGACAAGTAAACAAAAAAAATTCAGAGTTTTCTTCTTCGTTAATTGTTATAAAACCTAATTACTCCACTCAGCAACAGAAATAGTAGCACTTTCAGCAAAGTAATCAAAGTATATTTCCTCTTCTGTACGCAAAGTAAAAAAAAAAAAAAAAAAATTATTACGATTTTAATTACCTGCTTTTTAAAATAAGCGAAATTTTCATTTGCAATTGAGTTACATGACGAACACCTTGTCCATTTAAAGTATAGGATAATTCATTAACGTAGTCAATGTACTTCGAAACACCGATCATAGACGAAGTGCTAAATAATAAATAATACTTTTTAAATGAATTTCTTTTTGCCGATTATGAAGAAAAGATAAAATCCTTGTCAGCATACAGTTTAGGAAACTGATAACGTATTCTGTTTTTTTACATAAAAGTTGATGCATTATTAATTCATTTACGGTAGAAAAATTTGATTTCTGTAACTGGCAACAGCCTAGAAAAACCTTTTATACGAAGAAATTTATACTTACAGTGTCTCAAAAAAGTGATGGGACACTTGTGCTTTACAAAAGGAAACTGTAGTAAAATAAATTTAAAAAACAGTAAAAAATTTTTTGTGGGTGGTTTTTACTTAAACATTTAGTAACAATTATTACAAAAACTCACAAAAAAAAAAAAATTAAAAAAAGAAAAAAAAAAAATGCAATTGTTTAGAACGGAGCAAAAAATGGCACACATAAGTGATGGGACACTTACTTTTCCATCAAATATTTATCCAAAAATTTTACTTTTTAAAAGGTTTTAATATTTTGTTGGATTTCCTTTTTTTTAAAACATGATTTAATCTTCTTGGGTTGGATTCCACTAATTTTTTGTTGATTTCTGGAGTGATTTTACCCCATTCTTCTTGAAGCACCGATTTTAATTGCTGTTTTGAAAAAATGGTGTGTTTGCGAATTCTTGATTCCAATTTTTGCGAAATATTCTCTATGGGATTTAAGTCTGGAGATTGTGGTGGTGTTTTTATTGTTTCAGGACAGTTATACAGCAGCCAGAGTCTAACGTTCAAAGCAGTGTGCTTAGGGTCATTGTCCTGGTAGAATTTAAAATTGTTATGAAGGTTCAATTTTCGTGCTCAACTCCAGCGAACGACATACAGCCCCATACCATAACTCCTCCTCCACCATGTTTTACTGTTGGCCCAAGTCCTGTTTTCCGTGGGTTTCTCCACACCAAGATTCTATCGTCAGACCAATATTAAATTTACTCTCATCAGCAAATAACTTCATTCCAGTAATCAGATTCTTATTTATGTTGGATTTTGCGAAAAAGGTCTGAGTTTCTATTCTTTTCACTTACGAAGAATTTTTCCTGGCTGCTCACCGTAATATCCAGCAAATCGAATTACTTTTTCAATAGTCTCAGGAACAAGCCCATAATGCTTGTAAATCAGCGCAATTTTAGGAGCACTCATTCTTGGATTTTTTTTTAAGATTCGAACGATAATTCGCTTTCCATTGGATAGTTTTGATGGTCGGCCAGGTCTTCTTTTTCCTGGATCAGATCTATAGTCGTTTAATGATATTGAAAAACTGTTGAAGGACTCAAGTTAACTATGTCGCTGTTTCTCTAAGATTTTCCACGTTCAAATGCAAATTAAATTTTCGAATCCAGGCAAAGTTTCTTTTCGTTTAGCATTCATAGCTGCACAGAGCTAAAAAACACAAAAATTCCAAAACAAACTGGAGAGAAATACTGGGCAGACGTTTTATAAGTTATTGCCAATTGCTTCTGAGAAAAAGAAATACCCCAAAAGATATTTTTATTGCTTACTTCAGACGATTTTTATGCAGAGTACGTAGAGTGCCATCACTTATGTGAGCCATTTTTTGCTCCGTTCTAAACAATTGTATTTTTATTAAAGGAGAGGGAATTTTGAAAAAAAGTATGTTATAATAATTGTTACTAAATTGAAGTATGAACACACCCACAAAAATTTTTACATGTTTTTTTAATTTAGTTTATTACAGTTTCTTTTTGTAAAGCACAAATGTCCCATCACTTTTTTGAGACACTGTATATTGTTTCTCATCTTCTCTGTGTCAATAAACCTGATGGCTAATTTCCGACTTCTGTTTCCGCTTTTAAAAACTATAATTTACCGTTTATTATTAATCAAATTTTAATACAGTGTTACGCATATGACACGAGAACATATCGCGTATTCTAATAGTTGCTCTGTAGTTGTGCTTTTTTTTTTTTAATTCCTTTCTTATAAGTTCTTTTGATGGGTCAATAAAAGTCACTAAAAGTGCATGCGACTTAAAAAATAAAAGTTATTTTTAAATTATGAAAAATAAAAATTCGTTACGATAATAGAAATTCGTTCGTTTAAAATAAACATTACTTTTTAAAACTGCGTACAAGTGTAGGAAAATAGTTGTAAAGTTTAATTATGTCTTGCAAAAAATATGAATTCGACAACATTAAATTTCAGTTAAATAATGGAACGATGTTGTGAATTTTCGATACGGCAATTTACCGATATCTTAATGTGAAATTTATCATAGTTCCATTTGGATTTACAGATATTTACCATGTTTGTATCGTTTTTTGCTCACGTTTGAACCTTAATTACATCAGAATACATGATGTACACATAAATTCTTTCACATATTGTTTCTTGTAAAAGAGTTTTGCAATATATTAAATGCAGAATTCAAAACTTCGTATATACACTTCCTAAGAAACAATGGAAGTAAAAACTTAAGTATTGGATAGTATTGGATATACATAAATTGAAAAATTAAATATAATGAATATTTTCTGATTAGAGATTGAAATCTAAATTTTGAGATGAGATCACTTTATTATGAAATTTTTCGCTTATGTTTCCTCTTTCCAAATAAAGATATTTTTACGAAAATAACACAGCTGCTACAACTGAAAATTCCAACATGTTCTTTGAAGATTTTCCAATTCTCAGCTCGGTATTTACGTTGACTTAAGATTTTTTTTTTTTTTTTTTTTTTTTTCAAGTGAAACGTACTGAAGATTTTAACTTAACAGCTGTGGAAGAAGTCTACTAGTTCTTTATAAACTCCCTAAAAGCAACATTTTTTATCTTCTAAATTGGAATGGATAAAAACACATTAGTTGCTCAAAATATTACGATGAAAACTCTTAGATGAAACTGATGAAACCAAATACTCTGGCTCACTTGAAAACAGTTTTAACAAACGATTTTTTTCCTAATTAAAGCAAATGCGAAAACTGAATATGTAATTCAATATGCAGAGATTGCAGAACGATTCTAATCTCCAGAGCCACCAAAATTCAAAAACAGAATTCTTATTTTGATAGACAATAACTGAGAATTATAAGCAATCCAAGTTCTTCCATTAATCTCCAAAAAAGAGAGATCAGTCAGATTGGAACATTGTATATAACCATAAAAATATTCCTAAATGCAATAAAGGTACTATAATTTTAAAACGCTGATTCAGTTTTTAAAAGAACTTGAACGATGCATTATGAATGCATTTGATTCTCACAGATGTAGAACTTCAATGATTTTTATAAAGATGTTAATACTTTCATTAATAAATATTTTCAATTAATATCTTTCTTCCACTCCTTTAATTAATTTATGAATTGCATTAAAACTCACAATTAAATTATTGTAAACATCATAAGCTTTAAAACTTTTATCTGTTTTAACAAGAAAAATTATATTCTGGTTACTGCTAGGTTTACTGCAAAAGGAAACGATAAATATCGCAACTTTTTTTTTTTTTTTTTTTTTTTTTTTTTTTAACAGGACTATAACTATTCTTAACAACATCAGATCGTTCTACGTTCGATTTTTACAGTAAATTATATTTCATCCTCCTACGAAAATCAACAACTTCGCTGCGGTACAATTCCCAAATTTCTTATATTAGATTTAGAACAAATTGAGACAAGAAATATCTAAGAGAAAAAAAATTGAGTTTCAACCGTTTTCCTTTTTCATTTCAAACTTTCCTAACCTAGCTGAAAAACCTAACATATTTGACATGCTTAACATTCAAAGAAAGGTTTTCATGTAATAACTTCAATTTCCTTTTTTATATTTATAATTCATAAAACAGTTTATACCTAAATGCAAAGAGATTTAAAATTTAAAAATTACGGAAAATATTGCAGAATATTTACAAAAATGTTTAAAATGGCAGTTATCACAGCTATACTCAAATTACATAAAAGTATATACACAATTTTTAACATTAATGAATAAAACACATAAAAATTAATTAATCTAAAATGAGGGTTAGGGATTTTTTAGCATTTTAAGTAACTCCTAGTAAATTTATTACATAAACCGTACCTGTAAAAATAATATATTTTAGGTCCAACACATAAATATACAAATGCTTTATATATGTTAAATATATTTCTAAATGCGATATAGGTACTATAATTTTAAAATACTTATTCAGTTTTTAAAAGAACTTGAACCATGATTCTCACAGATTTGGAGCTTCAATGATTTTTGTGAAGATGTTAATACTTTGATTAACAAATATACATATAGATATTTTCTTCCACTTATTTAAATTAATTTATGAATAACCATTAAAACTAATAATTAAGCTATTTTAAACACGTCATAAGCTTTAAAATTTTTATCTGTTTGTCATTTGTTGTTGAAAGCGCTCAGTAATGAATGATAATAACCTGCCTATAATTTAAAAAATAAATAAATCTGGACATTAAAAACAAAAAAAAATGGGTTTTCTCCATTTTATGGAAGCTACATACTGTAGTGCAATTGCCAAAACTTATATAACAAAATATGGTAATAAAAATTACTTTTAAAAAGCACAAACAGCTTGGAAGCCAAGACAAATGTTTTACAACCGAATGATCCCCCCCCTCAAATAAAAAAAACTATCAATATATCCCCGTCGAATTTTAAAAACTGGAAATTTTAAAATTTCATAATTACAGACTTAAGTCACATATAGCATGGCATTGCACTGCATATTGATTTTTAATGGATCGCGAAACATGTTTATACTCCTGGGAATATTTGATTGGAAAACACACACTTGGGTAGCACAGCCTTATGGTTTACGTTACTCTAAACAGTTTTCTTCACCAATCTGTAACTCTGCGAGTGAAAAAGGCCTCCTTTTTCTATTTATTAAACGCTAATTACTGATGCATAAATACAACAAAGTGTCATTTCGCCGTCTCGTAATTTTTCGACCTTCTTTCTGACTTCGTGAATAATTTTAAAGCTGTTACACTAAAATTTAGAAACGGAATAAATAAATAGGAAGAATAAAAAATTTAAAAAAAAGAAAAAAAAAAAAAAAACGTTCAGCACTCTAAACACAGCACCCATTTTTAAATTTAACTCCTTCTAACGTTTTAAGAAGACTTGTAGAATAACAAAAGTTGCAAATTATTAAATTCAGACAATCACAAGAATGTTTCCTTCAATATAACTGGTAAATACAAACAAAAAAAAAAAAAAAAAAAAAAAAAAAAAAAAATGGCTTGAGCGATCTAAATAAGGTTATTCTGAATTCTGCTTATATAAATTAAATTCAGTCACACATGATGTTTTTGAGAGAATCATTATACGTTCTTTAGAAATAAGCATGAAATAAAATAAAAGCCACAAAATTTCATAACTTAAGGTATCAGAAATTCTTAATAATTCTGCATTGAGTTTGTGAGAATCAGCAGTTGGTTTCAGATTCAAATATGCAGATTAAACTCCATTCACTTAATCCATATAAAAGGTGGAATTTTCTGGCATTTGATTTGATTTATAAGTCTTCTCAAACATTCTGCACCAAATATTTTAGTTATACATGCCACATTTCCATGTATACTACAGGGGAGGAGGAATAATTTTCCCGAGATTACAGGAAACAAAAGTCACAAAATGAACATCCCCCCTAAAAAAAAATCTGCCAGTTTGAAATCTTGAAATCAGTTACTTGAGCAAAAGAATCAATTTTGATGTTTCTGGAAGTTAAAGATCGTTTACATTAACCCCCCCCCCCACCCCAAAAAAAAAAAAAAAACAAATTAAAACTGAAAAATAGTTCGTAGTTTCTTTTTTGTTTTAAAAATTATTTTCACATTATACGTAATATTCCTTTCTGAGAAATGCATTCAACAATTGAATACCCATGAATAACCGTTTACTGAATTAATGTTACTAAAGCTTCAAGAGGCCTCACGATATTTGTCACAACGAATTTAATACTGGAGTTAGTTCACATTTTTTTCCCCAGCATAACTCACTTAAAAAAATAAATAAAACCTCTCTTTGAACAAAACTTGATCCAGTAATTTGAAAACCACTGGAATTTTGATGATGCTGATATTTTAAGTAATGTAACAGATTTCCCTCCCCCTAATAAAATCTCGTAAGATAGTATAGGAATGATATTTTGAATCTTACTATGATATGACACACTGTAATACTTCGTAAACATAATCCAACGGAATCATGAAGCTAAATTTTAACATGTCTCCCTAACTTTTCAGAAATGGGGGAACAGTGGCTCGATGGACCTAAACATCTGCCTTTCTTGAGCCGGCACAACTGGCACTTTGGGTGGGGTCGATAGACAGGTTCCTTGGGGGCCCCGACCACGGTGTACGTCAGGTTCCTCCTGACGCTCCTCTTGAAGAAGGATTTCCTCCGCCTGACGCACGTGTTTCCCGACGTGTTTGTCCTGCCACAGTTGCCCCTCACGTTTCCCAGTTGTCGCCACCACTGTCTATAGCTGTTCGGACCGCCGTTCTTGTCCGAACTGGACGGCGTTACGGCCTGTGGCGGACCGCCGGCCAGATCGGCGCCGCCGTCTCGCCAGGGCGTAACGGCCAGCGCCGCCATATTTTGCGCACACGCACGCACACACCACAACACCGCACTACTTCTTTACTCGGACACGAGCTCACACGAACGCGCACAGCCACGCCAGAAGCAGACGACAAACTGAGAATACTCGGCAGAAGCGAGAGAGGACGGGTGGGAGGGCCGAGGCCGGCCGAGCGTGTCACGTGACTGTATTGCCCTTCCCCCTCCACCCCGACCCCGAGGTTGTGTGTATGGTGCTTACGAAGGATGCGCGCGGCCCGAACCTGCTTGAACCTTCTCCGGCAGTTGCCCGTTGACGGTTTTTCCGAGTAAGCGCTGCTAGCAGCCTACAACCCCCTTCTGCTGCCACTCGCGCTCTCGCGCTCAGGAGGGAAAAGGTCTGCCCTCGGTAAAAATTATGTTGATGCCTTCCTTTCGGCTCGCTGTTACGATTCTTTGTTGCGTGTTTCTTTCGCTCTTAGCGCGTTTGTTGACTTTTTTCTTCCCTCTTTCTTTCACCTCACGGAATGTTCCACATTTTATCACTCGTATTTTCTCTTTGTAGTATTTTGTGTACTCTTGGCAGGCGGTCTTTTATTTCTTCCTACTATTTTCGTAACGTAAAATTATATCTAATTTTTTATAATAGTTTCATATTTCAGTTGTTTCTTTTACTTCATCTCAGGTGAAAAATACTTAGTTTATTTATGATCTACTTTAGCTCATTTTTTTTTTTTTTTTTACGATCCCCAAGACGTTATAAAGTGCACATCAAATGTGTTGCTGCCTAAAAACTATTGCTTTAAACACTAATCTTCATTTAATTCAGATTAATTATTATTATTTTTTAAATATTTGTTTTTCATGTAGTTATACTTAATCTGTATCATCCTTTTGTCATCTGTCAAACCCAGCTGTCAATGTATCATCCTTTTAGTTTTAAACAGGTCCTATAAAATTTAAAAAAAAAAAAAAAAAAAAAAGGTAAATTAAGTTTCCTTTATTGAATGTGGTATCTATGCAACATAATAACATGAATCCCGTTTCCCTAAAAGTATCTCTGTGATACTTGAAAAAAATTACATCGGGCTTAAAATATTGTAAAATATTGCATATTAACTAATTAAGCTGCGATGTTTCGCAGAATGTAACTGAGTTGTGTGATTTTCTCTTACAATCAAATCATAAGTCACCGAGAATCTTTTAAGCCCAGAAGGGCTATTAGTGTTGAAACGACATTTTGCATCTGAATCACTTTTCAAATTGTTGCCACCAAATATTATCGCTCTGCATTATATTTAAAGAAATTAAATAATTAAAACCTGCATGAATGCATGTATGTTTCTCGCACTGTGAAAAAAAAAAGCTACCTACAGCTATCAAATTTTGAATAACGAAGTTCTCCACCCGAATATGGGCACCTGGAAGCCCGAATCTTTGAATTTCGAATTTGTTTTATTACCTATTTCATATTTTTAAACTTTGACGCATTTTTTATTCAGAAACTCAACGACTTCAAAGCAAGCAGTGGCAACATGCTGAACGGAATAAAATGTTTTTATCTCAAGCGCGCTAGACTGTCTATCGGAAATTCTAAAAATATGCTGTTTTTAAATATTTTTAGCCCAAATGCTCTCGAAACTTATATAATATTCGCCCTTCCCCGTGGGGCACTTGTTTAAACCGAAATAGTTTTTCTCAACTTGTTGTTTTTGAATATCCCTTTCCAGTTTAAATCTTAGAAAATTTAATTAGTAAGAATCGAGTTTAGTATTTTTACTATTTCATAAAAATGAACTGAATATAATTTCAAAGCGGACAATTCGCATTATTTGCAAATAATTTTAAAATGTGAATACGGTAAAGAAAAGGGTGCTTAATGCACAAACAATGCAAATAAAATAGGTTACAAAATTTTTAGTAACAACTTTTCAATTAAGTTTGTATTTTTTTAAAACTTAATTGTTATTTATTTATTTTGAAATTTTGATTCTCTTGAAGGAATTCTTTATTTTCTTTGTTTATTTATATTGTATTAGTCCAAAGGGGCAATTTGCCAAGAAGGGCTATTCATTTCGTTTTGGCATTTTCCCTATAAACGGTGTTTCACTTTTCATATTGTTGCCACCAAATGTTATCACTCTGTTTTATATTTAAAGAAATTAAATAAGGAAGCATCTGCATGAATGTATGTATGTTTCTCGCACTGTGAAAAAACAACGGAACCTAGAGACATCAGATTTTGAATAACGTAATCCTCCACTCGAATATGAGCATTTGAAAGCCCGACTTTGGAGTTTGGAATTCGTTTTATTATCTATTTCATATTTTGTAGAACTTTAACGAATTTTTGATAACAAACTCAACGATTTAAAAGCGAGCAATGGCAACACTGTACAACAACAACAAAAACAAAAACAAAAAAAAAAAAAAAAAAAAAAAAATTCTTCAGCACGCGAGACTGTGTATCGGAAATTCTAAAGATATGCTCAATTTAAAATTATTTTGTGATATTGCTGTTGAATTGAATTTTATGGTTTAAGTTCAAAGAACATTAAATAAATAAATGAAGCGCAGAAAAGGTTAAAAAACGCTCTTTGGGCGTAATGTAAAATCTGCTTTTTTTATTTTATTTTATTTTATTTATTTATTATCCATTATAATTGCCGTGAAGTTTCTGTGCTTGTTCCGGAAATTAACACTTACATGATTTTTAAAAAAAACTGAAAAAATAATAATTTTTTGAAAATGCTGACGTAGGAAATCATATATACGTGCAATCGCATCCTTGTAATACATGAATTCATTTCGTTTTAATTACAAACTCAACGATTTAAAAGCGAGCAATGGCAACACTGTACAACAACAACAACAAAAACAAAAAAAAAAAAAAAAAAAAAAAAAAAAAAAAAAAAATTCTTCAGCACGCGAGACTGTGTATCGGAAATTCTAAAGATATGCTCAATTTAAAATTATTTTGTGATATTGCTGTTGAATTGAATTTTATGGTTTAAGTTCAAAGAACATTAAATAAATAAATGAAGCGCAGAAAAGGTTAAAAAACGCTCTTTGGGCGTAATGTAAAATCTGCTTTTTTTATTTTATTTTATTTTATTTATTTATTATCCATTATAATTGCCGTGAAGTTCTGTGCTTGTTCCGGAAATTAACACTTACATGATTTTTTAAAAAACTGAATAAATAAATTATTTTGAAAATGCTGACGTAGGAAATCATATATACGTGCAATCGCATCCTTGTAATACATGAATCCTAATAAATAAAAACAACTTATGTATTCAAATATTTCAACTTATTCCGAAAAGTCATTCACTGCAATGTTTCGCAGAAATTCGACTTATATTTATTGAAGCCAGCTTATAACTGTGCACTTTTTCGTTATTCCACGAGATAAAATAGCTACGTAGTTTCTGATATGAGCCATATTAGAAATCCGCTTACGCAAACTAATGCGGGCGGAGATATTAGCTAAGTAATAATCAATACCTCGAATTCAAGGGATAAGAGACACTAGTTTGTCTTTCGAAATAATTTAAGAAATATTCTGCGTACGTCCTTTGGCTTCCAATGATACCGAAGCGAAAAATTATGTTATTATAACAAACAGCTTTAATTAACATTAGTGGGGAAAATATATCATTTTCCCAGCTGTATTTAGTTACAATGTAATATAAAGAACAGAAACGTGTGTATTCAAAGCAAAGGCATCAGTAACATTTTGGTTAATTTTGGGAACTGCTGAGGGTAATTAAAGAGATAAATTAATACTTCCAACATTATTAATCAAGAGCACGTGTATAGATTAACGCATTTAAATTACAAATGCTCTAACACAAATTCATTTGATTTTGATTTCGATTCAAATTGTATGCGAGTCGAATAAAAGCAGATGACAGGCCGTAAATTTTTTTTAAATAAAATTTTGATTTTTTTATCAAAAAAAATTTATTTAAACTAAATTTTAAATTTTATTTGCTAAATATTTATCAAAGCATACATAAACAGTAATGATAATGACGAGAAAAAAAACTCCAATTTCTAAAATTCCAAAAGCTGGATTCACGTATGGTTTCGCGACGGGAGACTGGCCTAATTAAGCGCTGGCCAAAAATTCTAATTGCGCGATTTAACTTCGGCTAGCGAAATGGCTAACGTCGAAATTCTAATGTAGCAGAACTGTGCGAGAGAAAGTACAGCTGCCAAAAGCTTACCAAAAGCTTTATATCTAAATATTTTAAGAACTCCCCCCTTCAATAGTCTTAACTCTTTTGCATTCTGTGAAAGCTAACAAAAAGGAGAAATAAATGTATAGATCCAAATGACGAGAATAATGGTTAATTAAACATAAATCTCATATCACTATTTCAGCAACTAAGGTCAGTATCCCTTTTGTATTGCTAAAAGAATGCATTAGCAACATAACTTTCTGTTAATATTGCGATTTTGTTGTACTATATGGGTGTATTGGATCTCGTCTAATTTAGGGCCTCAGCTGGAATGTGGATGTAAGAGGTTTATTTTTATCTTCCATGGGCTGGGAGAACCATTTTGCTCATAAATGAAATGTACCCAAAGTCGGGCTTACTAATCTCCAGCTGAATTTAAGCTTTGGTCATCTGAATGAGTACCAGACAGATTTGTACCTACTTTTTTCCCCAAAATGTATGCTGAAATTACTTATTTTTAATCCAAATTTATATTTACCTCATTGCGAATTCTAGTTGTTCCCTGGGGGAGGGGGGAGGGGAAGGATTGTTCTTAACTGAACTGAAAAAAAAAAATCATTATATGACATATTTAATAACTTATTTTTAACAAAAATTAACTTATTTTTTGAACAAATATTAACCAGTGCACTAGGAAGAAGGGGCATCCAGACCTGGCTAGCTCAAATGGCCCAACACCTAGAAGCGATCCAAGAAAGTATATTCCCCCTCCCCCGGTAATCCAAGGGGACAATTTTTGTTTCACAAATAATAAACAGTAACCAATGGGAAGGTCAGCTACGGACTTTG